GCTGGGGGCTCCCTCAGGGAGTGGCGGCCGCCCCCGTAGGTGCCAAAATGCTTTGTCACCTCCCTGAGACGCACACCAGCTGGGACCTCCGGAGAGCAGAGCTCAACCCTGGTCCCATGCTGGGGTCTTGCTGATGGGGAATGGCCAGACCTCACTGGGAGAATTCAGAGGGCTGGGACTGATCCCTGCCAGCATCTGCAGGAAGCTGGATGTGTGACTTCAGCATGCCTGAGCTATACCTAAGCAAGCAAAACCCCCTCTACAGATGCTGAAGAGCCAGCCTGGCTCCTTATGTACCCCAGTCTTGATTAAAGGTGATTGGGAACAACACGGGAGCAAGCATCCCTTAAAAGAAACCCAAGCCCAAAAACCAGGTCTCAAAAAAACCTGGGCAGGCATGTGAGGAAGTCCTCTCCTGGTGCTTGCTTAGCTGTGCCATGGAGCAGCAAAGCACCATTCCTGCAAAATGGGACATTGCAGATGCCGGAGGGAGAAGGGGTGGTCAGGTCGTGTGGCAGTAAGGTCACTTACAAGTGAGCACTGTCCTGGCCGCTGCGAGATCTCAGAGCTGTGTTTTGGTTTGGGAGAGGTGGGCTGGAGGTGCTGCAGTGGGATGTGTGGGTTATTTGGGGTGATCTGTGGGTGGGACTGGTTGGTTGGGCAGTATGGTGTGGGAGCACTGCCATGGCCTTGACTTGCTGGGAAAGTGGCTGTCGCTCCTGGAAGAGACAGGCTGGGGTGAGCTGGTGGGTGCCATGGTTGGTGATGGGAGGGATGGACTGCTGGGCAGGTTGCCTGGGCCCCTAACCACGGCCAGCTTGCACAGCCCTGGTGTGTCCTGAAGGGGTCCAGGCCCACGGCATCTCCACTGTCCCGTCCCAGTGAGAGCCTCGCCTCGCCTGCTGTAGGCTCGCAGAACATCTGCGTTTCCTCCCACTGCCCTAATTTTGCTTTCTCTAGTTTTGCTTTGAGTCAGCTCCAGGGTTTCTCCTTCTCTCTCTTCCTCCCTTTGACGGGATGTGCTGCTTGAGGAGGATGCCAGCGGGCCAGATCCTGGTGCGTGGGGGCTTGGAGGGCCAGGCAGGAGCCCTGGGCCTGCCCGCTCTACCAAGCCCAGGGCCAAGCCCACTGCCTGTGGCACTGGGGCAGAGCCCTGTTGGAGAGGGCTGAGGGTCTCTCCTTACACCTGGAGAGACCATTATGAGGCCCACCAGATGAACAGGGAGATCAAACCCATGTGGGGTGGTACCTTCCCACATCTTCACATCCACCTCCTCCCTTAAATCTGTCCCCATTGCTCAGCATCCCTCTCCATCCCAGAAGTTCGGATGATGGGGCAATGTCCAGCTTGGTCATATCCCCAGTTCCAGAGGACCTGACTGCCCTTGTCTCAAATCCACCCTGGGACAGGTGGTACCCTCTACCATGAAGGGCTCAACCATGAAGACAGTCCATCTTGGAAGGGAACCTACAGCCATTGCTTGTCCCTAGGTGTGGTGGGTTTCATCGTGACGGGGTGACAACCATTCACTTTCAACACTGGCAAGGTTGGAGGGGGGCAGGGGTGCAGAGAGCTGGTGTGGAGCTGTGTCCCAGGAGGATAAGGATGCCCAAGTCACCCTCTACTTCAAGGAAAGGGAAAAAAGAGGATCCAGGAAACTCTAGATGAGTCAGCCTGCCTCAGTACCCAGAAAACCATTGGAACAAGTTAGTAAAGCTACCAAATGGTAAACACCGGGAGGGCAGCGCTGGGGCTGAGAACAAAGATTTAGCAGGAACACGTTGTGTCAAACCAACCTCATTTTCTCTTCATTAGGGTGATGGGCTGAGTACCGCAGGGAAAGTGGGAGCAATGCTATCTTCGTGCTGCCTTATGCGGTGTTCTCATAAGCAAGCTAGGGAAATGGGAAATTCTGCCATTGCGGGTGGATGGCTACCCAAGAAGCTCTATCCCATGAGTGCTTCTCAATAGCTCATGACGGCAGACACATCAAACAGGGCTTTTCTGGGGAAGTGTGGCTCAAACGAAGGCAATATGCTATTGAGGAAGGGTGTAGGGGCCACCTGGGAGGAGAGTTAGAAATAAAATTCACCCTGATGACCTGCAGAAAAGAGCAAAAATGCCCTGAAAGAATAACCGATAGAAAAGAATTGGGCATGTTTAGCGCAGGAAAAGATGAGTGAATTCTTCAGAGTGGGAAAAAAGCCCTGGTGTGAGGCAAGCAGTGAAAGACAGAGAAGCCGTTAGGGTTATGCCCTGTTGCTCAGATGACAGTCCATCGGTCTTGCAAGCCTTGCTGTGCCCACGGACACAGCTCCCCCGCTGCTGAGGGGATGTCCCGCTCTGCGGTCCTGCCTGGGGACCGGGGTTGAATGTCCCTTTCTGCCCCTCCCAGGGACTGCTGGCAGGATGGAGCCACTTGGGTATTGGGTGACCCCAAAGGGAAGGGATGGGTGTCCCAGCAGGGATGGGGCGCATATGGGCCAAGCAGGGTCCTCATGGACAGTGGGGGCACTTTGTCCCTGGGCTGGAGGGGTGGGGGACGGGGAGGCTGACACACACAGCGAGAGATGGAGAGGAGGAGAAAGGACTTCAGGAAACCTTCCTCCTCTCGCCTGGGTGGCTCACCCCGGGGTGAGAACTGAAGTGAAAAATAATTTCAGGCTGTGTGCAAGCGGCAGGGAAATTACCGCCCAGGCTGCACCTGTGTTTGCCTCCTCCGCGCATCCCGCGGAGGAGCCAGGACCAGCGCGCCGGGATGGAGGGGATTGGCAGGGTCTGTCCCCGGCAGGGGCTGGCCAGCCCAGCGGGCTTGTGCTAGGGCTGGGACAGGGCTCGTCCCCGCTCCCTGCCGAGGCCGGGCTGTGGGGGGACCTGCAGGAGCAACTTCTGTTTCCAGGCAGGTGCCGGTAAGCGGCAAGGTGCTCGGGCAGCGCCGAGAGGTGTGTGAAGTGGAACAGGACGTCAAAGCAGTTTCGGCTCTGTGGGTGGTTCTGGGAAAGTCCCTTTAGTAAAAGCAAGTCAAAGGCTTTAATAGAGGGACCAGCACCGGGCTCCTTCTCAGAGATGACTGTGAGGGCTCGGCATATCGTGAGTCGTGATTTGAGTTGTGTTGCCATGACGTAACAGGGGGCTGGTTTCCATCGCAGCTGGGTTTTGGAGGCAGGGCACGATCCCCGTGCCACGGGTGCCACCGGACCCCCATTGAGCAATGTGCCTGAGGGACAGCGTTTTGCCCCCTGGGGCGGGCAGTGTGGGGAGCGGTGCCTGCCTCATGGGGAGCGTCCCTCCGCCCCGCGGCAGCAGCCTTGGGGAGGAAGAGCTGGGCTGAAACCACAGATCTCCCAGATGAAGCGATCGGTTTGTTTGGGTGAATGTGAGAGTGCCAGGAGAGAGGGCTGCCTCCCCGGGGGGCTCCTCCTCCTCCAAATAGCTTGAGGTGTCTAACACAGGCGCAGCTGCCCTAGAAGCAGAGGGGAGATGTCAAAACTTTTAGTTTTTTCCTGCATTCAACCCCCACAGGGTAAATCTCAGCCCCTAACACAGAGGGGCCCAAGGGGACGGGCAGATGCTGCAGGGCGGGTGGCCCCATCCTGGTCACCCTGCTGCTGGTGGCTCCATGCCACGCTGGGTCACGGTGCTGCCAGGCACTGCACGGTGCCCGCTGCGAGGCCAGCCCTGCTCCCGCTTCGCTCCCGCTTTCTGCTCTGGGAGGTTTGCAGCCCCGCAGAGGCCTCTTCGTGAGCCTGTAGAAATGGGGGCCCCATGGTCTGGGAAAGGAGTGGGAGGGGGGGCAGGGAGACCTGCTGCTCCCTCTCTTCCTCCCCACGCACCAGACCAGAGCCAGGGATGTCCCCCCGTCCCCACCTGCGAGCATCAGAAACGCTGGTGGGACAACCCCTTCTTCAACGTCATGCTTGTAGGGCGCTGCCCCAGCCCAAGCGGGACCCCGTGCCCCCATCGCAGAGCTGTTGGGCAGGGGGTGACCCAGGTCCTACCCACAGGATAGGGATTTGCTCGCTCTCCTTAAGGATCTGGAAGATCTTGGCTTGTGTCTTCTGCTTCCAGAAAGCCTCCTTTCTTTCCTTCTCGTCCTCTTCCAGTTCGTAGCATCAAGATGTAATTAAGGGTGGAAGGACCTCAAAGCAGGGAGGAACCTTGAAGCTGAAGGTGGGCTCACCACCCTCCGCTCTCGCAGGAGCAGCAGCGCACCTTGTGAAGGTGCTGGAGGGCTCTTGGTACAAATGACTCACTGGCTTTTCCTTTCCAGCAGCAAAGATCGGAGGCTCCCTGCCAACCTGTTGTTACTGGGGCTTACCTATGTCGCCTGCCTCTCTTTTGGGATCTGGAGGATGAGCCTGATGTGCTGGTGCCTCTTAAGACCTCACAGCCGCTGTCACCTACTGCTGGCAGCCATCGTGCCCCTCTTGTGAGGCCACAGGTGTCATCACCTACATCCTCAGCAATCCCGCTGCCCCAGCCGCTGGCACTGCTGCCTGGGGCACCGGGGCTTTTGGGCACTGGGGATGCCACGGGGACATACTTCATTTGAAACCAATGTGAAGTATTTTAAGCCTGATTTTTAGATCCTTCTGCCTTTAAAATAGATCCTTCTGCCTTTAAACAGAGGTCTGTCCTATTGCAGGCTTTAATATCCCACAGTCTTTGTGTTAAACTCTCCTTGCTTCTGGGAGCCTGAGCGCTGCTCCAGGCACTCAACACGAGGAACTGCCATAATTTTCCATGGTGGCTTCATCCTCAGCAGCCACCCAGCACATTTCCTCCAAGGCTGGGCGTTTTGGGGTATTTTGTGCCTTTTCTGTGCCCAGGACGTTCTCCTCTGAAATTTTCACACTAAACAAGATGGTTTTACTTCCACGGAAAGCTGAGCTTGCTTTGTCGAGCTGCGTATCTTCCCCTAATTCAAGACCAGTTATCGTTTAGCATCTTATCTGACCTGCTCCCCATCCTACATCACTCTCCATCGGATGTCCTGGGGGACCTGTGCACCTCAAGAGGGGTGAGCTGAGGGGCAGAGGGCTGCAGGCAGGCTTGGCCCTGCTGTTTATACCGTCCTTCGGTGCTCTCAGCTCAGACCACACCTCACCTCTTTTGGCTTTACGTGCAGTGCCATCCTCCCTGAGTTTCCACCCTGTGGTTTCACATCAGACCTTTGTCTGCTTGAGTTGGCTGAAAGTTGTTAAAAACAGCCCGTGCTTGGTGGCGGCTATCGAGAGAGATAAGGCTACCTGGGGCTTTATCAGCTGCTGAGTCCTGCATTTTCAGTGGGTTTCGCTTCCATTACGATGGGCACAATCTCTGCTGGCTCGCCCCTGCTGCCGCGACAGACATGGGCAGCCTGGAGGGGGCTGTGTTTCCAACCTCTCTGCCTACAGACAGAGCAGCATCACGAGAGCACAGGTCAGGGTTGGGGGTTCGTGTGCGGGGCTTGGGGAAACACACCTTGTCCTTGCTTTGGGAGACATTTCACCCAGCCAGGATCTGGTGCAGCATCAGCAGAGACTGTTGACACAGGGATTGGGATGGGGCGGTGCTGCTCACGCGGGAGCAAAGGTTTCCCTCTCCAAGAACAAAGATGTTGTGCAAAGAGGAAAAGTTTGGAGAAGAGAAAGTTGCATACATTTATCAGCACCCAGAAGCCGCAAACTTGACCCTGGCCACTGCCTCTCCCCCAGCTCCAGTGGGACCATGGGGACCTGGCAGGACATTTTTGCAGTGAAGATCATGGACATGCACTTAACAGAGCCATGGGTGCTTCAGGAGGATGATACCCTGCAGGTGCACGTCCTCAAGCCTGGCTGGAAGGAGTTTGTGCAGCGCCGTGCGCTTGGAAGGTAGGGTGCTGTCAACCCGGTCCCTGTCGGAGCAGGGCCAGGGATGATGGACTGCCATGTGGATCTTTCCCTTTCTCAAAGTTTGCTTGTAGGAAACAGCTTTTGACAGGAAAGGGGCAGTTTGGAGGTGGGTGAGGCTGGGAGGGATTTTCCCATTTTGTTCCAAGCTTGGTAGGTTATTGCCAAACTGGAAAAAAATCATGATAATTGGAGAGCAGGGGTGTATGGCAGCTCCACAGGGCCAAAGGGCAGCTGGTGTTTGGCCAGAGTTTCTCCGTGCTGGTGTCAAGATGCAAAGAGCTCCTTCAGCGAGCAGGGGTATTATACCACGCTAGGGGCAAATCTGCTGGGTTTGCACGCAGAGGATGAGGAGAGGGAGAGCCACTGTCTGCTGGGACACAGGGCGATGCCTGAGCAGACCTGCATCTGCACCAGGCTGCGGGGTCCCAGAGCAGAGAGAGGCTGTGGCTCTGCATTGCCGATGAGAGGTCCCATACAAACCATTTTGACCTGAGCAGGACCCTGGGCATCAACCGGAGACCTTGCCCGGGTGGCAGCAAATGGAGACCTTGGCTGCCAGCCCCCATGGAGATCGTGCAAGATGAAGAGCTGCAGGTTACTCTCCTTTTGACTCCTCAAGACATCTCCTCACCTGACCTGCAGCCTCCACCCACACCTTCCTTCTATTTTTCTTCTTTTGTTGATTGACTTCCCTGGCCCTGGCCTTGACACTGGCTTTCTGCTGAGCTGTGATGAGCTGGCACGGGTGAAGGGCTGGAGCTCCAAACAGACCTGGGGCCTGATGCGTCCCTCCCCAAGGACCCCTGCTCCTGGCAGCAGGGCCAGGATGGGCTAGGAGAGGGGACCAGCGTGGTCCCCTGGCTCCTAAAATCTTTAATGCTGGTGCTAGCCCTGAGCTCACATCTGTGTTGAACTACCCAGACTGGTGTCATGCTGTTATGGGGAGGACAGTTTGATGCAAAGCTTGCATGAATGAGGTTAATCCATCAGCCCTGGCTGCCCTGGTCCCTACTGACTGCACAGAAAGCTGCAGGCTCAGCACAGGGAGCCTGGGATGAGCTGATCTCCTCTGTGTCCTGGCAGGTTTCAGTGCTCCCAGTGCTTTCATGTGTGGTCTTCGGCCAAAGTGCATGTGCTGTTCCACATGTGCAGGCACCGGTGCCAGGGCACGGTGTGGATGCGAGCCTTTCGCCAGGCGTGCAGGCGGTGCCCTGACCCCCAGCTGGAGGAGCCCGAATTCAGCCAGGAGACCATGGAGAGACTTCTGCACAACCTGGTGCTCAAGATCCTCAGGTACTTCTACCACGTGACCATCCAGCCCTCTGACCTCCTGGAAGTCGTGGTGAACGCGCCGGTGGCAGGGCCACATGACAGCACCCGCTGCGAGGGCTGCCAGCTTGGTGTTTGCAGCTGGGTACCCTTGATGGACGCAGACAAGGCTCAGACCCATTGCACCCCGAAATGCTGGGGCACGAGGCACTATGCAACCCCAACCCCCCATCCCTCTCCCTTCCACAGTAACTCCCTCTGGAAAAGCTGCTGCTGCATTGGCAGCTCTTTGCTCTGCCTTGTGGCAGTGCTCCTCTTCGTCCTGCTTTATTTCTCCAGGAACTAGTGGGACTTGGGGCTCACAAAGAGGAATGGGGTGATGGCTGGGGAGGCTGATGGAGCGCCTGGAAAATTGGGTGCCCAAAGTCAGCCCTTGCTCGTGGCACGGTGAGGCTTCCCTGGCTTGTGGGGGGACAGGGACACATCAGAGTGCCTCAACCAGGCACCTCGCCCCACAGCCTCGGGGAGCCCGGTGGGTAGGTCATTTTCTTAGAGGAAATAGAGGAAATATTCTGCATGAGGACAACCCTTAGCTGCTCCATGTGATGCCTAGAGTCTACTTGCAAGAATAAAACAAGCCCTCTCTCCTCAGCCCAAGGATGCATTTGTGCTTTTTAATTTCTGCAAAGTCTTTTCTAGGTACGTGTGAACGGAGGGTGGGGGCTGCCTTTATCCACCAGCTGGGCTCACCCTCCAGGGAGGCACATCCTGATGCTCTCCTTGGCCTTGGTGGAACTGGGCACCCAAAGCAGCTGAGGGGCACCTAGAGCTGGAGGCTTGCAGCAAAGTCACGGGGAGCTGGTGCCAGTGGACACTGGCACTGCCTCCCTACGAGCTGTGTGCAGCAGCATCTGCTCTGGCCCCGTGCACCAGTGAGTGTCCCTTGTGTCACCAGGGGCCCAGAGATTGCGTTGTCCTCCAAAAACATCTAGGTGCTGAGCTTCCACAAGGGCATTCTTTATCAGGGAGTGTAGTGACAGGATGAGGGGTAGCGGTTTTAAACTGAAAGGGGGTAGACTTCAACTAGATATTTGGAAGAAATTCTTTACTGTGAGGGTGGTGAGACACTGGAACAGGTTGCCCAGAGAAGCTCTGGATACCTCCTCCCTGGAAGTGTTCAAGGCCAGGTTGGACAGGGCTTTGAGCAACCCGACCTAGTGAAAGGTGACTCTGCCCATGTCAGGGGGGTTGGAACTAGATGATCTTTAAGGTCCCTTCAAACTCAAACCTTTCTATGAGTCTATGACTACGGCTCTGAAAAACACCCTGGCAAACACAAACCCCTCCCGGCTGGCTGGGCACCCTGCGGTGGGGGCAAAGGGTGCCCAAGGTTGGTAAGCACAAGAAGGCTGTGGCAGCAAGTCCCAAGTCTCTGCCCTGTTCGGTCAGTCACGGGGAAATTGCACTACACTGGGCTACAGGGGCTGGGCAAAGGGGAGGATGCTGACTCCTGCCTGCTGCTACTTTGCCCTGCAGGACTTAGGGGACCTGGTGGGCATCATAAAGTTGGGAGGAAAACTGTTGTCCCCCTGCAGCCTGACACCCCTTAGCTTCTTACCTTCCCTGCAGGGGAGCTGCTGGGCTCCTGCAGGACTTACCCATGGGGACAGCATGTCCTGTAGGCACAACTTTGGTCCAGAAAACCGAGGTGAAATTGGTCTGTAAATGCTTGCCAAAGTTTTTGAAATAGCTGGCACATCATAAGCTCCAGATACAATCGTGGCCGCCAAGGTCCATCTGCCATGGGGTCCTGGGTTGGGCAAGTGGTGGGGAGAATCAGAAGTGAGGCAGCAGAGATATCAACTGCTCTGGTATGATCTTCCCCGTGACCCGAAGTTCAGAGTCTCTCCTGGATTTCTTTTTTCATATAAACAGCCTGATTGCTCTCCTGACTCTGTTATGCATCTGGAATCGCCTGTAGCAGGGAGCTCCCAGGGTAACCTTGTTGCTGAAATGCTTCCTTTGTGTGTTGTGTTTGCTTGAGTTTTTGTGTTCCCCTGCTCCATCCCTGGTGGGTGATGCCCTGTGGGCAGCGTGCGGGCAGAGCCAGGGACACATTGCCCCTTGCTGCTCACGGCAGGTGGAAAAAGACATGCAGGAGCTGGACAAGAACAGTTTGGGCGCTGTGGGCAAACCTCCTTTTGGTTTCATTTCTTGTGCTCAGGCTTTGGCTCCCTGCCTGCTGCCGACCGAGCCAGCCAAGCCCAGGGCTCCTGCCTGGGGCAGGCAGCAGGGGCAGCTGGGCATCCCCAGGCAGTCGCTGCGCCGTGCCCGGACAGCAAGCCCAGCCCCTAGGAGAGATGGACCCACTGTGGATGGATACCTGGAGGGAGATATGTTATGACCTGATAGATGAGGTGAAGCCAGAGGATGAGCGGGACCTGAAGATCATCCAGGGTCTCACTCCCGAAGCCTTGCCCTGGAGCTGGACACTGGTGGTGGAAGAGCATGACTTGACCAGGCAAGAGCAGCGGGCATGGGGCAGCCAGCCCTGGCCTCCAGCAAGGGATGGGTTCAGAGGGCAGGGTGGAACGCTGCCTGCACAGGCAGAGCTGCGGGAATTACCTCTTTTGTCTATGAGCTGCACCGGACCCCTGTTTTGAAGGCACACCCCTGCTGCTCCCAGGGGACGCAGTCTGCCTCTGCTCATCTCTCTCTGCCTGCTTGCCCGGGGTTTATGGGACAAAACTTTGGGTCTGGCAGGGTCTCATGCTCTCACGAGCTGTTAAACCATCACGGTAACGGAAGCCTCCTGCATCTCCCGTGCCTGGCCCAGCCTGAGGGACGGTCACGTCTCAGGCAGTGCTAGGCAAGTTTGTGTATCTATCTGCGCTGTGCTTCAATTTCCCCATCTGTAGAATGGCTCACGGCACTTGGTTCCTGCAGTGCTGTCAGCCAGGAGAAGAGCTCGGGGTGCAACTGGGGCTGGCATTTGGCTCACACTGGGGCACCAAGGCTACTGCTTCAGCCCCTCTGGGGTAATACTGCGGGGCATATTCGGGGGGGGCGCAGGGGTGGAAGCAGGTCAGCCCCTCCATCTGCAGCCAGCCAGGGTTTCTGTGCTGGGCGAGGGACAGCCCAGGGCTGGGCAGCGGCATCCTGAGTCCCTCCCCAGTACCCAGAGGGCAAGCTGGGTTTTGGGAGCCTCCAGCTTCATTTTGCAGGAGGTGGGGGACTGGGCCTGATTCCCCACCTGAGGATCACCAGAAAGGGAGGGGGATGCAGCAGTGGGTGTTGTACCCAAATTCAGTGTGGTTGGAAGAAGTAAGTCTGGGGGAAAGTGGGAGAGTGCCCAAATGGCCCCTGCCACAGGCATCCGCTCACTCCCCGTCCCCTCCAGCATCTCACCACCCTGGACACACATGCCCATGGGGCAGGCAGGGGGGATTGGGTGCCCCTGTCTCGCTGAGGCAGCATGGATGTGGGGTGATGCTGTGGCCAGCCCCATAGCTCTGTGCTCCTCTCCCTTTGGCAGCCTCTATCCCACCACTTGGGCTCTCCTGTCTTTCAGCTTCTGGTGCTCCCGCTGTGAGCCCGTCCCCTGGGGAAATGGGGTGCCAGTGGCGAGTGTGCCGTTGCCAGCCCACCGCCAAGCCCCGGGCAGGTCTAGGAGCAACTCAGGAGACATCACCCCCTGTTGTGCCTCTGCCATCCTCATCGTACTTTCCATTTTCATTGCATACCTCCCACAGAGAGGCTGGCCAGGGACCTTTATTAACTCCATCAACTTCCCAGCTTGCTCTGCCTTAGTGGGCCCAGGCACCCATGGGGGGCATGCCGGCTGCTGGGGTGGGGGTTTCTAACACCCCTCGAACTGAGCTGCATCACTCACTCTTTGCCGTGTTCTCTGGGGTTCATACGCTGCCTGGGGGGTCGAGGAGCAGAACGCAGACACTGAGGGACCTGCTGCTCACTGCGAGTAGTAAGAGCTCAAGTGAACAACTCCCAAACTACTCCAGGTACTGAAATTGTTTTTCGGGCTGCCTGGCAAATGAGTCCAACGAGGGCCAGACCTGCAGAGCTTCCAAGGCAGCTGCATCCACCCCCTCCTGACTTTGCAAATGATTTGATGCTGAAGATGGACATGGTAAGAAAGATTTCACAACTGAATTAATGGAAGAAAGATGGGATGAAGGGAAGGCATTAACCAAACCCAGTGTCACTGGTGCAGCTTGCACAGCATCAAGCCCTGGCTACGCAGCTTTCCAGGTGTTCTTCTCCCTGCTGTGTCCTGCAGGGCCTTTGACACTGCTGACTGTGGGTTTGCTTTTTTTGCTGGCATAAGATTTTTCCATATTTTCATATATGCAACCTGCAGACTATTGGTTAAAAAAATCAAAATAACAAGAAAAGCCTGTATGATCCAGGGGCCATGTGGATTTTGTTTCTTAAGTGCTCTGTCCCGCTCATCCCACCATCTCTCCCCTTCCCCAGCGGCTTCTCCGCAGCCTCTGCAGCCCTGGCCATGGAGCCAGCAGATGGAGCTGTGAGATCTCTGGCACTGCACTGGGAAGCAATGGGACCAGTGACCCGCCAGCACTGGGAAGGGCAAGCCCTCCCCAGATGGGGAATGCTCTCCCCTCCGTCCCTGTGCCAAGCTGTTTCCCTGTAGGGTGGCCCCTTCAAACCATATCCCACATGAATATGGTCCTGGTCTGTGGACGAGCTGTGATTTCCCAGTCTCGGAGCACTGGAGATGAACACGCAATGCAAAGTGTGGGGCCTCAAACCCCTCCTGGCCCCCAACTCTGCCTGGGGGACAGTGGTGCCACAGCAGCAGGGCTGAGGACCAGCGTGGTGCCACCAGCAGGGACTTCCACAGAAAGGAGAGCCAGCATGACCTCTCTCCCTTGAGTGAGCATCAGTGATGTCTCGAACATTTTTGGCAGGGGAACAGTAGCTGAGAGAGTGCTTGGGACCCAAAGGGTCTCGTATATGAATGGACCTGTCTTTCTGGAGGAGGTGTCTCCTTGCTTGGCTGTCCAGGGCTGAGTGGCTCCGCTGGGGAGGAGGAGGCTGATCCTGCAGCCTGGACCAACTCCCTTCCCTCCCGCGGCTCTCCCCGTGCTGGGAGCAGCCCGCCCTCTCCCCGCCGGCGTTATGTCATGAGGCAGAGACATGGCCAAGTTTCTTGCTGCCATTGCCCGTAGCCCTCTTCTTTCCATGCTGAGGTTTTCCCAGCCCAAGTCATCATGTCTGGCTGTCTGCAGCCTCCCCAGCCACCCAGCTGCTGAGGGGGAACTCCCTCGCCTCCGCCTGGGAAGACAGCTCTGGTGGAGACCACATCCCTGCGGGGGTCCTTATTTTCTTGCTTGGGTCTCTCTGGTCTTTTACAAAGGCAGAGCCATCCCTTGCTCCCCTGCAATGCCCTCTGCACACACCCCGCACTCCCCACCCATGGCCTTGCGTGCATACGCTGCTTTTTCCCTGCTCCCCTGCCCGATGCTGCCTGCTTGCCTGCCTGTCTCCTCATATGTATGTGTGTGTCTGGGGGTCCTCTTCCCCCTCCATCGTGTATCCCCTTCATCTTCTCCCCATTACTTAGAGACACCCATGCATACGTGGGCTTCTCAGCCACAGCCTCATTTTTGGGCTCCTTCCAGGATACCCCACTCTGATGTGCAGTTGTGCCCGTCTCCCACTTGTTTCTTAGCAAACTGCTCTCAAAGCGCTGCTTTTCATGGCTTTTGGTAATTTGGGAGCCCATAGCAAGCCCCCACAGCCCAGTTCAGCCCCCAGGGCTGATGAGCAGTGAGCAGCCCCCCAGGTGGCATGGGCACAGCGAGCCCATCCCGGGGAAGGTGGCTGAGGGATGCAGGATGCTCTCTCTCCCCATGGGTCCTGGGCAGGTCCTGGTTGTCCCCTTTGGTCTGTCCAGGGCTGGGTTCTGCCACAGCCAACTCTCAGCTCACGCCTGGCACTGGGAATGAGCAGGGATGGGCAAATCCCACCCAGGGATGTTTTGCTGGCCTTTCACCAGAGCCAGACTGATAAATTGCTGTCTCCACGCCTGTGTCCCTGGAGAGAAGCTCTCACCACCCCGGCAGGTCAGCAAATGCAAAGCCCGTTGTTGTTGCTCTCGCTTTCCTCCTCCGCTGCCCGTTCCCAGCCCTCCCTGCAGCCAGCCGCAGCGGCCGCGGGGCATGAGGGCTTGGCACCGGCAGCCCGGCGGCTTGGTGGGCAGGGGGCCCCGGCGGCCCGGCGGCTTGGTGAGCAGGGGTGAGGGCTGGGCTGCGTTGGGGATTTCCCGGCAGAGCATCGACGGGAGGCGGAGGAGAGTCTGTATTTATGACTGATCTATTATAGGGCAGCAATATTTTTTAACTTGCCCTGGAGTTGTCTAGGCTCAGATCCTACAGATGGTGGTTTAACGCTCAGGGGACCATGCCTTGATTTTGCTTTTTCTCTCTCCTCCTATTCACCCCTCTGATGTCTCTGGATATGTTAGCAGACCCGTGAGTGAGTGAGCCAGATCCACTGCCCTCCTCCCTGCTGTCAACCCAGAGGAGCCCGGCGCTGTTATTTCAGTTCTGTGCCGTAGGAAAATAGGGATCAATAACCCAGCTCTCAGCCCTGCATCCAGGCGCATGGTAGGAAACAGTGCCCATGATTTTAAGCTCTCTCCAAAGCCTGGATTTGTGATACAGAGAAGAGATGTCCGGCAGAGCTATGTCCCTGTCTCAGCTCCCGTCTGTGCGTGCTGCAGAGCCTCTGCTGTGAAGATGCGCTCTCTCAGTCCAACAGCTAGCAGGGATGAGCTGATTTTTCATCTCTTTTAAAGCAAAAGTCACATACTGTTATTTTTTTCACATGTCAATTGAACCCAAATTGAATTGCTATTCTCAGCATACAGGTTGCTGCACTCTCCTCTTGTCTTCAGTGATGTGCTAAGGCTTTAAATAATTGAAGGGCAGGATCTCATCTGTTGCCGCTTTTTGCAATTTATATTCACGGCTGGCCAGGGTCTGTCTCAGCCCGTGAAGCTGTGCAGGCCACGGCTGAGCATCCGTTGGGGTGAGGGATGGTGGGAGAATTCCCCACGGGAGCGCAGGCATGCATGGCAGAGACTAGCAACCAGCCTTGACCATGCCTGTCTTGGAATAAAAGCCTCAGGGCACAAACTCAGTATGTATCTAAGTTTTATTTTGTTCTCAGGAGGAAGGTTACACAGAACCATCCTTACATGACATTGGATATTTCACAGAATGTAGTATCAAAAAAGAAATATATATATATATATATATAAAAAAAATACCTTGCAGTTACATGACATAGCCAAGAGTACAGTTCTTAGTGTGTCTGCAAGTCCGACCTTCCTTAGGCCTTCTGCTCTTCTACATGCTCTACAAATGGCTTTTTGGATGATAGCAAAATGGCAGAGTGGCTCATTCACTGTTGACTCCTTGCATGGCAAAACCAAAGGAGGAGGAGGCCAGGCCCAAAGGAGGCTACAGGCACGCAGAGGGGACAGCAGGCAATATTTGCATGTTGCTTACAGCTGTAGGAGGGCTTTGCTGGCAAGTGAAGGAGATGATGTCCCCGCAGAAGGAAGGTAAGCTCACCTGACCTTGTTCCTTGGTGGGGCTTACTCGTCTACATGAGCCATGAAGAGAGGCTGGGGAGATACGAATACTTCTGGTGGGTTAGGTGAGTTGGGGTCTAGAATGACTTGGACACCTGCAATAGGCCAGAAGAGCCACAAACAAACACTGAACACCATAAGGAACCTGTAAATCAGTGAAACCAGTGGCCTTAAAAGCAGTTTAAAAGTGACTAGGTTCTTACGAGGATGAATGCGTTGCCGTGCAGGACTACTGAGGGCCCTAAAGAAGAGGTGAAACCCCAAGGAAGGGCATTTTATCTGAAATGATTCTGCTGAAAATAAGTATTGCTTAGGTGCAGCAGGTGCTGTCTCGTGTGTTGGAAAACTTTCCTTGGGATGTCTGCTGTGGCTGGAAACCATTCCAAGAGCTAGTCTGGGGGGAGGACTGGAGGGGTGATGGAGAGTCGGAGAAGTTTTGGTGGCTGGAGGTGAGGGTGACACTGAGTCCAAACCCTGCCCCCCTCCTTGTGTCCTCTGTGGGGCATCCATCCCGCATGGTGGGGTAGGTGTAGCCCATTTTGTTTGGTGCTGTCTCAGCAGCCATTAGCTTTCCAGTCACAGCTGAAGTTTAGGGCTAATGTGGATGCATCCTCACGTCCCTGGGGCCAGATGGACATCACCTGAGATGCCATGAAGCAGGGACATTTGTTTACAAATAAAAATAGTAGCAAACCCTCAGGGGTCTCTCACTACTCCTTGCACAGAAAAGGTGGTGGACCTGTGAGGTCCAGGCCTGCCCAGATGGGTTTCCTGCGCTGTCCGTAGCCTCTGTAGCTCCTGCAGCTGCATCGTCTGAAGGGAAGATCTGGCTGGAGAGCCCTGGGGATGGAGGCAATTCTCTGTGCATGGCCCAAAGCTTTGGTGGCAGGGAAATGCTGCCTCCATCGCTGTGCCTTTGTCCTGGCCTGGAGGAGGGCTCCCCGGGAGCG